GAAGTAGTAAGTGCAGATGTGCTGTGTACGATGTGTAAACATGATAGTTCAAGCTTAAATGTGAACATGTACTTTCTCATCTCACTTGCACAGAAACACATTCAGTATTCCTTACATCAGGGGTTCCCAAATTTTTCAGCGCACAACCCCCAAAATTACAGTGCCAGTGATTCATGACCCCCAATATCCGCTGAGGTGGTTATAAATATATAAACTTTACACACTGGCGTACATATGCCAATAGGCCTAAGTCTATTCGTCATTTATATTTGAAAAACGCCACTCAGAGACCATCCTCCATGTCCAGTTATGGCCTGTATTTATGTTTAATCTACATGAGTGCCGTAAAGGTGCAAGAAAGTTTAACCTGGTGCCATGAAATCAATGTGCTGTGTCGCAAAAAATGGAAAGGCTATAGTCTTTTTATTTGCATGTTGTTTTTTTTTAATGTAACTATTAACTGCTATTTTTTATCCTCTTTAGGGATAAAATATGGTAGGGCTGGGCACTGTCCTAAAATCAAAATCTCCATTAATTGAATATTTTAACTCGATAACGATTAATGAACAATTATTTTATTTTTTTATTTTATTTTGTTGCTCTCATAGTTTACGTAGTTTTGTATAGCAGATATGCTCACATATTACAAGTGCAAGATTTCTGAATGAAGGGTGCGTTACTTGATTTTAAAATAATTGAAGGAAACACACACTATCTACTGCCTAGGATTATTTATTAAACATCAGAGGTTGAACAACTTAAATTAAAACATAAATTGCCAAAACAAACAGTCACTTTTTCCTTATAAAAAAGTGAAAATAAACAACATTTGGAAACAAAATTAATTATTTTCATATTAAAAGTAGAAAATTACAGTATCTCTTCTAGATAAAATAACTCCTGTTTATATACATTTCTAAACATAATAGTTTATAATAACTAATTTCTAATAACTTTCTATATATTTTATATTTGCCATGATGACAGTAAATAATATTTTACTAGATATAGACCATCGAAAAAAATTGCTTAGGGGCTAATAATTTTAACCTTAAAAATGTTTTTTTTTTTTTTTAAAAACAGTTTTATTATAGCCAAAATAAAACAAATAAGACTTTCTCCAGAATAAAAAAATATTATCAGACACTCTGTGAAAATGTCCTTGCTCTGTTAAACATAATTTGGGAAAAATATATATATATAAATAAATAAAAAAAATTCAAAGGGGGGGCTATCTTTCTATCTATCTATCTATCTATCTATCTATCTATCTATCTATCTATCTATCTATCTATCTATCTATCTATCTATATATATATATATATATATATATATATATATATATATACACACACATACACACGTCTCAAGGCATCTCTGGTGCAGCTTCCATCATCTTCAATGTAGTGCAAACGTGCGACGTGTAGTAATATTTTTAGAGAGGTGAACAGGAATGCGACCGTCCTACCGTGCGATCGACACACAACTTTAGAACAGCCTTAACATCGTGGGGTCATGTGACTCCACAAGTGGTAGGGAAAGTTATTGAAAAAACCTTACTGGAAAAAATGTATCAATTATAGGTTCTAAATGTCGTTTTCGATTTTCACTTTTTTTAATTAATCACCCAGTCCTAAAATATGGTAATTATTTTGATAAAATGAAATAAAATTTCACTGTTCTGCGACCCCCCTTTGGGAACCATCGTCTTACATGAAGAAAAACGTGAAATGCAAACTGTAAATGTACATTTCCAAACTTTTCTTTTTATGTGTCCAATAAAGAAAAGTTTGTTTGAGCTCAACTGCACAAACATGAATTTACATTTCCTTTAACTTGAAGTTTATTGACTGCATTTCAGTTTTGGGGTAAACAGGCCTTACATTATTTTCCATATGATATTAAAATTAGTTTTATAAAATAGTTACTTATTTTTAAAAAAGCAACACAAAATTGTAATGTATTACATTTAAAGGTAACTTTCCTGAACACTGATCATTAATGTCATATAAGCATTCAGAAATTGATCCGACATTGAAGAAACGGGATGTTTTCATCCACTCAGGGGTGATTTTGAGTCTTAATTTGACCATAACTTTTTCTGTGTGTCAGCTAGCAGAATAATCTTTGGTGACTAATCTTATTTTGACACATATAATGGGATAATGCATTGAAATCTTTAAAAAAATTAGACACTCTTGGCAAATTTAATACTCTTTTGTTATGTTAGGGATAAGAAACATCCAATAAATTAAACTGCAATTAAAATGCATCAGATAAATATTTTTTTTCAAGTAAATCTGTTAATGAACCTCAGTTCTGATCAAAACTACTAAATAGTTTAGAAAATTATAGTATTTAACCTCTTTAATCGCCAAATTCATAAATGATGTTACTAATTTGGTGAAAAAACACTCACAAAATTACTTATTTTTAATATAAAAAGTAGTTGTGGACTGGATTTATTAAACTTTTTATCAACAGTCTTGGACATGTGAAATATTATTAACATTTCTTTTAATGCATTGTTGGTTTTTGTGCAGCATAAGATTTTTTTGAACAGATTTATGCAAATAATAATAGTAATCTGATGCATTTTTGCAGCAGTTAAATTCAGTGGATATTTTCATCCATTACATAACAAAAGGGTAGTAAATTTGAACAGGGCACAAGAGTTCATAGTTTTTTCCTCAAGATCACCATTTGAAATAGGACAATTTGTAATGCTGTTAATATCCTTACAGTCTATTTAGATCAAATGAATGCATCTCTGCTCAATAAAAGTATTTATTTAAAAAAAAAACAACAACTGCCAAGTATATGGAGAGTTAGTGCCAATGCAGAGTGTCCCAAATCAGTTACTTATGTTGGGCTTCATAACAGTTAGGATGCTGCCTTAGAAGGAAGCCAGGCAGTCCATTAGGTTGCATAACTGAGCTGCGGACAGAATTATACTCCAAACAAGACAAGAACACCAAGAAAAATGACTATTTATGTTCCTCCAGATGGTGATCAAGTGTTTCCAGTTCCATGGGTTAGACTGATAAGTCCCTTGACTGCTATTGTTCTGAAGACACATCTGTAAGACATCAAATCATGGGGCGCGTCTCAGTTCTCGCTGCTGTTGGATCCTCATGAAGATGTGCTGCCTTTGAGTTATAATCTAATTTGTTTAACTTATGACATTTGTTTGCGTCACATGCAGGATGGGAAAAAACTTTCTCTAAATTCACATCTACGAGGCACATACCGCTCTGAGTGCCCAGTATCTGTGGTTCGAATTGATGAGGCCGAGTTATGCTGAATGGTCGTTACTGCCATTTCCTGTTATCTAATAGAAATGTAACATCTTTCACAGCTATTCAAGAGAAACCTGATTACCTAAATGCAATACAATTACATCACCATCCTTTAAAGTTAAAATAGCTTTCGTAACAAATTGCTTGGGTGGTCTGTCTGACACAGTTTTGCAGTGTTATATAAAATACAGACCCCTTTATGCCTATAACTTATGTGGTTGGTGCAGGTTGTTGGAGGAACACAGCTTTTTGTTTGCATTTAGCTACTTAGTAAATATATAATAAAAAAACACTCTTTATAAAGACCTACTTTCTGAGAGCATATTCTGCTCTGATTGGTAAGATGGGCAAGTCTGTTTTATTTTGTCTACTACTTACTATGCATTTCAGAAACTAAACCCACATAACCATAACTAAATGTCGGTTTAGGAGTTTTTCTCTGTAAAAACGTCATGATTTACACATCTTCCACTTGTCATGAACCTGTTTGATTTTTTTTTTTTTGTTCAAAAGAAGATATTTTGAAAAATGCTGGAAACCTCTAGCTATTGACTTCCATAGTTTTTGATTTTCTTACTATGAATGTCAATAAATACCAATTTCCAACATTCTTTAAAATATATTTTTTGTTCAACAGAAAAAAGGCATAAAGACTTGGAACCATATATACAGTTGAAGTCAGAATTATTAGCCCCCTGAATTATTAGCACTCCTGTTTATTTTTTCATCCCAATTTCTGTTTAACAGAGAGAAGATTTTCTCAAACATACAAATTACATACATGTTAACTGTCCATTAAATGTGATCAATAGATTTTTCGTTGTTTTTTGTTCATCTGAACATCTTAGCATATGTGACTGTTTAAGCTGCTTTTCGCTGTAGTTTGTGACAAAAAAAGAATTTTGCATGTTGTTCTGTGTCCCATGATTGGACTTGCAGGTATATATACTTGTTCCTCACGCCTCATTTCTGTCGTCTATTACTAAGGTAAGCGGGCTGTAAGCACGCAAGCGATACACTTGTCTTATTTATATATGTCTTATGATAAAACTATGTAGGCACATTTATATATACAGTTTTAAAACTTTTACAACAACCGTAATGAAAAACAGATGTATTCCCCACGTAAAAAACTATCCAATAGGCATGTACGTCTATGTGTATTAGCATATTTATTTGTTTTTAATATATAGCATGGATTATAATATAATAAACTGAGAGTAAATCTTTGTCTTGGACCATATTTTGAAAAGTAAGCTTGCAAAGTTGTTGTTAGCAGGGTGGTGCTGACATCATAGGCGAGCGCCCCGAAGGAGCTGTAGTCCGTTAAATAGCCTAATGTAAGCTTTTCAATTCTTGTGTTTGCATTTAAGATCCAAAAGTGCTCACAGTTGTATTTTCATGTGACGATTATCCGGTTGGACAAAACGTGTAATTGTAATGAACAGTGTTTAAACACAGAGCTCATTATTTACAAACTTCGGAAAGCATATGGGAAAATCCTATAGGGATTTTATAGAGGGAACCAGTTTTATGCTAGCAGCCGATTAGCCTAAAAGGTGATGTCATAGTTCCTCCACTCTTTTGCGAACAGAATTATTGCAATACTACACTGGCTACATACAAGCTGTGAGTTTTTTCATAAGCTGCTTTGAATGGAACCTTGCTGCAATATGAATGAACATCGGTAACACACATTACCTCCTCTCTTTAAGAGGGCAGACTGTTGTCCACTGTTGGGTTTTGGGGTCGTAGCACTCCACAGAATCGTAGATCTTCCCATATGATCCTCCGCCCATCACATACAGTCTCTTCTTCATGGTGGCACAGCTACCAAACTGAGTAATACATTCACAACATTAAGAGAAGCTTGATATTTATTATTTTAAGCATGAGAGAAAAAGTGTTTGAAATTCATACAAAACTGAATCTAAATCTCACCTTGCGTACTGTGGTCATCTTTGGCAGCATTCTCCAGACATTGCAATGCGGGTCAAACACCTCCATCGTGAGGAGAACTTCAGTGTCCTCATTTTCCCCACCCAACACATAGATCATCCCGTCCAGCTCCGCTATGCCAAAATGCTGTCTGGCCTGTGCAGACACAAGAAAATACAATATAACACTGACACCTGGTGGTTCGTATTAAGAAGTGCATCGTGCTATCCTAGCAGCAATGGTAGCCATTTAGCAGTCAAAAATAAATTATATTATTACTTTTCTGTGTGTAAAAGTAACACTCCAGTTTTTTTGGAAACGGCCTCATGGACTTTAATACCTTAATGATGAACAGTTTAAACTCTTCTGAAGTTGTATTGTGCCCAAGACCGACGGAAAATGAAAAGTTGCTATTTTCTAGGTCGATATGGTTAAAGGAAAGCTCTTAAATTTGTTTATTTAATTAATAGAATTTATATAATATTAAGGTTTGTTATCGTTATTGTGAAAGTGTTTTTCCGGTTCTTTCAATGTGCATTCGTGTCGTACGCATGCATGTCATTTGAGTTTTTGGAATGAAAAGATTTGTATTAAAATTATTTGTGTATAATATTCCTTATTTTAAATGTGCATTACATGCTGGATTTTCGATAGCAACCTAGCAAGCAGTTGATGTGTTTTTTTTCATGTTTATTTCGACATATGAATTTTGTCATCATTGTCATTAAACGTGTCATATTTGAGGGCAAAAGGAAAAATAATTCGTGTCCCCTCAGTTTTCATAAGGGATTAGTTGAGTCAAAAGTGAAAATAATTCTGTCGTTAACTACTAACAACAACGTTCTGAACACACATGTATAAATTTGATATTATGAAAAGGCAAAAGAAAATTGCGAAATGAAAGCGATAGTCCAGACATGCGGTCTCCACGTCGAGCCAGGCTGCAACTGTGCAGGTCTCCTGCCGGGTCTTAAACCCGGGTCCTTCTTGTTGCGAAGCGAGCGCGCTACCCATTAGCCCCTTTCACACAGTGATACCGGTAAATATCCGGAAAATTTCCGGAAAGACTTTACCGGTATATTCAAAAAAGCGCTGTTCACACAGGCGAGGACGTTACGGAAATTTTCCGGAAAAGAGCATTCACACATCCATTCCAAAATACCGGTAAATTCTGACATCATTCACCACAAATGAGCTTTAAACGGCTGCGTTTGTATTTGTAAACATTTGACTAAATTACAAACTCTGTGGATGATCAATATTGTGAACAACTTTCTCAGGATCACTTTCGCATGTCGAGATGTTCAAAATATGTACGTGTGCTGGCGCTCACAGGCTGTTTCACAGGCACACGAACGTAAACAAACAACGGCTTATCATAAGCATCTCATCGATGATTATTTACACAGTTGGCATTAAGAAGAACATATAAACGTGATCTGACTAACTTCTAGCAGCTAAATGTGTCTGGAAAAATATTCAAAGGCTTTTATCCTCACAAACCGCGCGGACGTAAATGCGTCTGACTGTTGTGATTGGCTAAAGCAGACGTCTCACGTCAGCACGTTCTAGACGTGCACGCGCTTATTACGGGAATCTTCCTTCTGCATTCACACAGCGCAGCATTCCGGCAAATTGCCGGTAATGTTACAACTTCTCTTTCCGGAAAATAGCCAGAACGAATTTACCGGTATTTTCAAAAAGGACCTGTTCACACATACAACCTTTCCGGAAAATTGCCGGCAATTTTCCGGAAAGGTCTGTATGTGTGAAAGGGGCTATTGTCTGCCGGCTGACAAGGAAACGATAGAGGAATCCTTCAATTCCTGCATAAATAAATATAGAAACAATCAATAGTGCGGCCTGATAAATGGTCAAGTACATTGCACCAATGTTGGAGAAATAGGACAATATTGAAAAGAAATAATAAAAAAAAATCATTATTTATCAGCCTGCACTATTCCTTAGTTGTGCATTTATTTAAGCAGGGATTTGTGGATGTATGTACTCATTCATTTATTTATTTGCATATTTATTTATTGTTTAATTTATGCAGGGATTTATGGATTTTTCAGCTGGGATGTGTGGTCCACTATAGCTTGTAGTCAAGGACGACAAAAGGTA